CTCTCTTGTAACACCTCTAATCATCTGGCACTCATATGACCTTATGCAGTTGCGAGCGCCGTAAAACCTCTACTAAAACAAAACTAAAATATTACTATTTATATATAAGGAAAACCATGTCGCTATACAGAGGATGTCGTTATATCGAAGAGGCTGCACTGTATGTGATTCAAGTAATCATAATTCTGTGTCCCATTTAAAAATACTTTTGTTTATGTGTGGATTTTAGCAAAAAATGTCAATAAAAAACAAACAAAAATGTAAATTTGCACATTTCAAGGATTCTCATGCTTTGTTGTTTTGTTTAGTATAGGGTTTTACGGCGCTCGCAACTGCATAAGGTCCTATGAGCGCGCGGGACACACCTAATACTTTTTCGTTGGTAGGAAATTTTGAATTTTGCTCGGGTGGCGGCCGAAGCCTACTCTTATCGATTTTAGACCACCAAGGGATCTTTAACGTGCGCAACTTGCACACGGGCCCTCCGAGATTTTTCGCCCTTTTCTGAGAAGGCTAGGTGTAGATCTTTCCTACCAGAAGATCAGGGGTGTGGCAGAAAGACAGCAGTTAGGAGGAGCCAAGGAGTAGCAGTAGAAAGGCTGCAGAAAGAGTCAGGAGCCCAGAGGAGGGGGCAAAGGAGGTGAGGGGGTGGGGGCAGAAAGTGGAAATGAAAGCGGACAACAGAACATTGTTAGAGATCAGGAAAGGATGTGAAAGGAGACAATTTTAGAGAAAAAATTTTTTTGGTCGCTACCCGGAATCGAACCCGGGACCTTTGAATGAGAGGCCAACACCTTAACCTCTAGGCCACGAGAGCCCCCTCTCATGCTTTGGAAGTCATTATATTTTGGCAGCCATTTTATCGTTCTTTTTACCTCTGACACCAGACGATCCCCCCACCTCCGTCAATTGCAAATGTCTTGACTTCTATTCAAGATAGATGGATATTCTTTCCACCAAAACCAATACAAGTGAACAAGATGATATCATTAACTATTAACCCCATGTCCACGAAAATTGTTGTGAGCTGATTCTACCATGTCTTGACACAACTATAAAATTTACATAATTTTAGGTGCAAGTGACACAAGATTTGATTGCTGATGAAGTACAAGGAAGCTGCCCCATGTTCTCAACAAATGTTTTGCTTGGAAAGGATGAGGTGAGGTTTCATTATTATTATTTTACATGAACATAATGTATTTTCTTTTTTTATTGCATGTAAATCTATTAACATGTTGCAAGAACCCATTTAGCCGGAGGTTGGAGGGCGCCACTGGTAGGTTCTTCTCCTTCACTTTCCCTCTGTTGTTTCTGTCTGTCTTACTTTTTCCCAGCACTAAATGACCATTTTGTTTATGTTAAATGATAAATGTATGAAATGAGACTGCGGATGAAATGATTCAAAGCACAACAAATTCCTTTTGTCTACCGTTCAATTTTGCTTAATCAGAGATTTCGATGAAAACAAGATTTAACAAACATCATTTTAGATCAATAATCCGGTAGGGATATGTGTTAGGTTGCAATGCAGTGTTTACAGCAATTATTGGCTTCATGTTGGGACACCCTTTTTTTATTTTCCCTTTAATCAACAGTGGTTTGGTTTGAATTGAGACACTTTCTTTTCTTTGGTGTGTGAATGTGTCAGTGTCAGACTAGAGAACAAAAACGACACATCTTAATGCTTGTTGTGGTAATCCGTATTACTCAATATATAAATAGATCGTTAAACGCAAATTTGCATTATGCTGTTAGACTCTCCTATTTTTCTGAACACAACAGTTTTGCAGAACAAGCCAACGGCTAAGGTAAGAGCTGGGTATTTGACACTATGGGTCCATGTTTAACATGTTACTATTGTTACTGCCATGGCTGTAGACTTCTATGAATACGATTTATGAACCGACGTCTGTGGTGAAGTGGTTAGGTGCTTTGCCATCACATGCAGAAGACCTGAGTTCGATTATGATAGTGTAAGGGGAATTTTCATGACATATCTTGGTCTTTCTGGTGGGACATTGTATCCTTCACTCTCAGTCCTAGTTATTGGCCCTTACAGAGTTGAAGCCAGCCTCCTAAATCTTCTAAATTGTGTTGATGGGGCATAAAATATTTTATCTACCCAGTAGTTCTACATCAAAAATTTTATGATGGTGGCATATTTGCACCTCTGTTATCAATGCCCAGCCTGTTAACCTCCACTCCACCCCGCCCCCCACTTCCCCACCCCTTCACTGAAGAAATTAAAACGGTTGGACTTTTGTCTGTACCCACACAATGTGGGTGTTCTCTTTGTGTCAGCTTCTTGGACCAATGAACCCTGACCTCCTGAGCCCAAAATAACCTGTTCCCTGGCTTCTGGATGAAAAATATCTACATGGCTACACACCAAAGTATATATATTCAAATCAATTCCCTTTTTTATCCCTGTATGGACTGCTTGTAGACTAGCATACACTGATGTATCGGTGCTTCGGGGAAGGAGCAGATAACCCGCACACTGATATAAATCGGTGTCATGGATTCATTGGGCTAAGTTTTTATTTTCTCTTTCCCCCTTTCTTTCATTTGCCAGCCTCTCACCCATGTGATGGCCAAGACAATAGTGGCTGCCCTCAACCCATCGAAGGACGTGATTCTCTCTCTAGCCTTGAAAGACACGACACCAGACACGGTGCACGCCGTGACCGACTTGATCAAAACTTGTTTGAGATAGAAAGAATTTGTGTGGGCTGAGAAATGTGAATGAAAAAGAGAGGTTTTGAAAGGCTGAAACATGCTTGTGTAGGTGTGTAAGAGAGAGAGAGAGATGGGGGGGGGGGGGAAGAATGACTCTGAAAATGAGAGAAAAGAGAAAGAGCAGGAAGAGAGAGCATGAGAGAGGGGGAAGCGAGTGACTGTGTGTGTGTGTGTGTGAGAGAGAGAGAGAGAGAGAGAGAGAAAGAAAGAGAATGAGAGATAGATGAGATTGTGATTGGGGAGGAGGCGGGAAGTGCTATGAAAGAGAGATGGTCAGTGTCAATGTTTGAAGTGTGTATTTGGAAGTATGGTGATATTATAAACACAATACACTGAGCAAAAGGTATAAGAAAGTGCATGTATACACAAATGGAAGTGAATTTTGTTATTGCAACTTTGAATGGCTACTGAATAAAGTTAGTCTAATTTCTTTGCAGTTGTTGTCTTGCTTTCTGACCATTTGTTCATTTTTGAAAATGACTTAGGAAGGAAGACTTAATAAGAAAGGGACACACCAGCATAAAAAGTCCAGTGTCCTAACAGAGTCTCTAATCCAAAAAGGGTTTGTAACACATCTGCATTTTGTATTCCAATGCTTTTGTGAGGCTTGAGGTTTATATTTAAAATGATTATCTACAGGTATAATGTCATGATGTTAAGCTTGATGTATATTTTTCAAATGTTTATATCATACATGTACTGGTAAAGGCATCTGTGGTGTAGCGTCTAATGTTTAAGTGAGTTCAGTTCCTTAGTTCCTATAGGAGAAATATATTTTACCGTGTGTCTCATTGTACGCCTGGCCTCCTCCAAGATGTAAATATGAGTTTGAGGGGAGTTATAACATTGAGGTCAACTGCAGATTATGTTATATGTGACAAAATTGTGCTGGAGCCACTTTTTTTGTCCGAAAAATGACAACTTGACGTAACATTTTTCATTTTTTTAAAGAATGTAGGTTGGCTTTCTGATACTTTATCATTTGCAGATCATTTGAGTACTTAAGACAAAAACACTCAAAACAAATTTTTTTTCGATGTATACATGTCTTGTATTTTCTGTTACTGCATTATATGAATTATAAATACAATCGTACAAGAGAACTCTACTGACAATAATTATGGACGGAGGTAACTAAAAATATTATCACAGCTGGAATTAGACCATGGGTCTACAAATATAGTGTCTAACAGTATACAGTAATACAATTTAAGGTATTTGATCACTGTTGACCATTTATGGTTTTACCACTGCCTCAACAGTACCATACACACGTAGAGGGATACACAAACCATTCCCATACAACACTAAGCATTACATTAACTCACTCACTGTCTGGCACTTTATGGCTCAACATTCAAAGAATGCCAGGTGTTTTGGCACCAATCTAAAAATAAATAAATCATTGCTACCTTTCTATTTACCACTCAACAAAGAAACTTAGCTTGCAAAAAGGCAATAAAATTATTGCTACCTTTCTATTTACCACTCAACAAAGAAACTTAGCTTGCAAAAAGGCAATAAAACATACAATAAAATTAAAAAACGGGTCGTCAGGTAAAAATAATTTGAGTTAATTTGAGATTTTATTTATTTAT